CAAAAGATTGTATTAGATTTCAACGACACCAAACACTCCAATGATGGGTTAATGTTGAAGTATGTTGAAGTAGTGTAGTGTAGTGTGGGGGAGTGTTGAAGACAGATTTAATACTGATTAAGACCAGCTGATAACACAACAAGTTTTGAAAAAAAAAAAACTTCAGATTACTCACGATCGAGCCAGTAGCCTGCTGATTAATTACTTGTACACCTAAAAAGCTGTGTAAAGTCATCGAGATACCACGAGGTGGCCGAATGATGAGGCATCCAATAGCGGGACATGAGTGGAAATTTAAAAAGGAGTTTATTTTCAGACGGTCGGCACTCGGCAGAATGGGCCAGTTTATTGAATAATCGCGTTTTCAACGCCGCCACACCGCGTCCGCGTGGCCGTCCAAGGTCTTCTTCAAGTCTTTGTGTCGACTCAAAAGCGAATGAACGAACCCGGATCTTGCCTATTTTACAAATTTTAGGAGGGCGTTTTTTGAAGGTGAAGGAATGCAATTTTCGGAAAACGCCTAGTAGTGTTTTGTAGAAAATTTCATTCCTGACCATGAAATTTCTTTCAAATGTTTGGGAACAGTTTCAACCTCTTACCGTTTTTGAGCTATAGCCATAAAAAACGTGTTTTCCTAAAATGGGAGGGGGGGAATAAAAATTTTGAACTGCCATCACTTTTGATTTTGATAGGATTGACGTAGAGACCTCTAGTTTGCGCCATTCTTGTTTCATGCCTTCTCATTTGATATATCAAAAGGAGTACCTTGCAATTTAACAATTACAAGTTAAGAGTAGGGGGAGAAAGAGAACATAACGTTGAAATACAACAATTGTGACCTCTATAGATGATTCCCGCAAATAACATATTTCTATCTATTGCAGTTTTAACATAGCCTAAATAAAGAAGCAAGTAAAAAAAAACACCCTGTATGACATTATTAGTAGATATTTATTTTGTCATTTCAGCAGTCTTCCGCTTATAAACTTCATGTTAATCGATTGCGTCCAACATACACTCCAAGGTTAAGTTGACAAGCGATGATTCGACACTTTCTTTTGAAATTCTGCCCAATTAAAAGATGGCGTCAACCGTTGCGCGGTCGTCTATGACTTGGCACCGATGTTTGGTGGTCGGTGAACCACTGAACCAGCAATAACCGGCCCAGAACGGTTAGAAGCTGATCATGTTAAGTAGCCAACACTCAACACTTGCTGTAATTGGACGACGAGATGACTCTTGTTCATATAATTCTGAAATTCTTATACAGTTTTTAGGACGTATCACATCTTTAAAACACATGTATCATGGGTAGGTGGAAGGGATATGTTATGGGGGAAATCACAAAAGTTGCGATAACTTTTTTAACAGCATTTTCACACATTAATGAGGGTTAAATACTTTTGTTTAGAATTAATTTGAAAAATGAAATAACATGGATTAGTACTTACCACATAACAAATTTAATCAAAGTCGGACCTAAGGTGTAGTCTGTGGAGCCACACACACATACATATCACTCCAACCTCAAGGGATGTTTCCAAACATCAATACATGATCCAGACTTTTGGAAATTTTGGTTTTCCAATCAAGTAACAGAAAAATCGGATTAAAACAATGGCTCAAACGGTTTTGAAATTTAAAATTTTATAGTCCTCTTAACCTTGAAAAAATTGCACAACGCCCAACGGTTTGAATTGTAAAATTACTTTCTCCCCCTATACATAGTATATGGAGAAAGTATTGTTTTGGTCAAAATGTTTGTTTTGAGTGGATATCCGTTTTGGATCCCCTGAACTGAACTCGAAAAGTAGTTTTCAAAATGATGTATGGGTGTGTGGATGTGTATACTATAGAGCTACAGACCACACCTGTTGTCTGATTTTGATTAAATTTGGTATGTAGGTACCAATCCATGGTATCTCCAGGAGTTTTTAAAATAATTTTGATTTTTAATGGTGATTTTTTTCTCTTAAAACCCATAAAATGACAGAAAAAAATCGGATTTTATAAAAGTGGCCCGAGATTTAGTATGTTATAGTCCTTACAATTCTGAACAAAATAATACAAACTATAAAAAAAATTGATTTTTGAAAAAAAAGTTAGTACGTTACATTCCTTTTAATTTTGAACAAAATGCTTAAAGTCCCATTTCTGTAAAAAAATACAGTTCAAAAGTTATTCTAACAAAAAAAAAATATTCCAATTTTTGTATTTACCTTTAAAAATAGTTTGTTGATACTATTTGTTTTAAAATAAGAATTTAGCCAGATTGTGTCCAGTACAACACTCTTTAACCCAGGCACTCATTGGATGAATCAATTACAATTTTTGCCCAAAAAGTATGCAAGTGAAGAGTAAACAAGAGTATCACAAGGTGAAAGTGTGATGGTAATTAATTAATGTAAACATCAAGCCGCGGACAGCTGAACCTCTGAGAGATAAGTGTCTGGCTCATGGCTCCTGCTGATAGTGAGCGTGAGCCGTGTACCATACATGCCACTGGCACGTGCTTCTACAGTATTATGACTTTCCAGCACGATCAATCAAACATCCAGTTTATTTAACTACTTTCATCTCCTATACTTAAGTGTTATTTTCGTCAAAATCTTTTGTTTGAATTTTGGGTCCCCCCCATGAACTCAACAAAGTGATGTCTTTATGTGTGTGAGTGTGGATGTGTACAAAGCTACAGAAAACACTCTTAGGTCATTTTGGAAAAAAATGATATATGCGTACTCAATGGTACTACGTACACGGTACATCCAGGAGTTTTTAATTTTAAATGGCGATTTTCCATAAAATAACAGAAACATACAATTTTTACAAAAACGGCTTGAACTTAGGAGGATTTTGGAACTTAGTATGTATATGGTCCTTTTAATTTTAAACAAAGTGGTACAGCTCTCAAATCTGTGTAAATTGTGGTTCAAAAGTTGTTGCAACTTTTGGGTTTTTCCCATAAAATATCATATAGTCATCCCTACTGCTTATAAAGAAGGGTCGGGAGAAAATATCTGTCAGAATGCTGAACTGTTTATTACTCTCCTCCTATACATGGTAGTCCTATGGTAATAGTGATGGACAAGACCCGAAACTTTGAGATTTTTTATCTCAAAGCTTCTGGCCGGATTGAAATACTAATGAGATATTTTCAAAACAAGATTAAACAAAATTTTTTTTAACATTTTCAAAATTTAATTTTTTTTTTCAACTTTTAAAATAAAAAAAAAAGTTTGCGAAGGCATTTATATTTAATTATTTATTCTTTACACGGAAATATTGCTTCAATTGTTTTAAAAATTTTTTGACATAGCAAATGAAAAGTTTTGTTAGTGTAAGCAGTGCGAGAATTGTTTTACTACTGTAAACATAGCCAAAATAAGTCACTCCAAAATCATTCTAAAAATAAGACAAGACTTTAAATTTTCAAAGTTGAACTATATACTAACTGATATCTCCTATGCCGAAGAATTATTTTTAAACAGTTAGGCCTTATTAATATTTTTTTATATACTGGTGTTTTTATTTATGTTTTTTAATAAAAGATTTTAAATATTTTTGTCTATTTTTTTAAGTTTTTAAAACTTGTAAAATATTTCTGAACTTAAAAAGTAGATATTAATTTTTTTTTTACTTTTTATTTAAACTCGACAAGAAAAAAAATCCTGTCCCGCCGGGATTAAAAAAGTCTCGTCTCGAAGTGAAAAATCTAGTCTCGTCCATCACTATTATGCAATATGGTAAAAGTTTTCGTCTAAATGTTCAAGTCCGACTTTTGGATCCCACTGAATCCAACAGTGATTTTGGAAGTGATGAATTTTGCTGAAAGTTTGAAAATAAGGGATTAGGCCAAAGCTTCCTGGCATCATAGGCCTAAATGATAGTCAACTTCAGAGGGTTTGATATTGCATCATTAAACCTAAAATTCTGCAAAGACGATGTATTAACAGTTATCGCTATAAATTATGAAGTCTTTATGATTGTAATATAACGTAGAAAGTAGTAGCGGAGGAGCAAAGGCATAATTAAAGATAGTTTTCCTGAAAAGGAACAAATCAGAATAAACAATCAGATCAAAACAAGGGGGACAGGGAGATATTATAATAAACCAATATTACAGAATCTTTTTAATGTACACAATCACATTATAAAAATGGTTGGTTCCTTTAGGAATAAGTTCTTAGATGGTAAAATTACAAAATCAAACCAAAATGATACCACTTCCAAAAAAACTTCATTTTTGAATTTTGGTAACAAAAAATTACAGCTTGAACAACTATTAAACCTTAACTTATAATAGTCAACATATACAGACAAAAACAACATTTTTGTTCCATAATAAAAAAAAAAACATTAAATAAAAAAACAACAAATAAATATATTCTAGGAACAAAATGAGGAAATGTTCAATGTGAAGATTATTTAAATATTAAATATTGTTTTCACAATGCAACTCAGAATAAAAAAATAACAAAAATTTTTTTAATATTAAATAGCTGTTTTAATAAACAAAAGTACATTTGAGTGAGATGAACTACAGCAATAATCGCAAGGAATAAACAGAAAAACAAACTTATCTTGAATATGAAGAACAAGGATAACCTTATGACGGCTTACATTGTTTCATTAAAATAATCATTAAATAAAATGCACACAACTATTTTATGCATTTTGCAGATTTGATGAATTGCGTATCGAGCATAGTAATTTTGTCGTTTGAATAAAAACAAGCTACTTATTTATATATTATCCCTGCATTTCCTGTTAAAATACACGTCAAAAATTTATTTCCCAATATTGGGGCGAAGATTTTTTTTTTAAATTCAAGAAGGGTCAGCACAAATTTACAAGTATGAAAATAATGGTTTTGCATAACACGTCATTTAAGGGTCAATATTAACAGTAGCTTATTTTTATCAAGGATTACATCACACAAAGTATTGATCTATTCTAACAGCATTAGAAAACTTCAAATGTTCACAAAAAACATACAAGCATTTTATAAAACAAGACTATTATAATAAAACAACGTACCATGAATATCATTTAGGCGATTCCCAGGGTAAAATCTTAATAATATAATTTAATTAAACAATCGGAAGCCTAATATTAAACAGATTCTGTTTATAAACAATTAACAGTTATGGAACAATTTGTTTACCTTTTTTCTGTTTTTTTTTTATTTTTGTTTTTTAACATAATTTAAGAACATATAGATGGATAAAACAGCTATCCAAATAGTGTTGCAAAGGTTAATTTTCAACCTTCATAATCATAAACTATATATTTTTATATATTGTATATTTTTTTGTCCAGAGCATTTGGAATATTTAGGTTTGTCAGTCTGTCAGCATTGACTCTTTTAACAGCAACTTATTTTGTTTTATATAGTATTTAACAATTTGTTAAGTGATGATAGAAAATGATTTAACCACCGTTGCTGTTGCTAGACGAATGTGGTCCGACCCTACTTCAGTAGGGAGGGAAAAAGCCTGCAAAAGTAAATTAACAATGAAAATATTTTGTTAGCAGATGTTGGACAGTGTTTAATCATAAATAAAAGTTTAAATTTGTTGATAATTGCCTGTAGAGTGTGTAAATGTAAAAGGGTTGCCTGTAAATGAGGGTCTTGTGAGCTCCTGTTGCATCCAAGCAAGCCCCAGCAAGCATACATTAAATAGACCTTAAGATCGTGATGCTACTTTTTTGGTAGTTAGGGTATGCACTGAATGTTTACACTGGGCCCCGCACCACTCAAAAAATAGCTCTGTGGTCTTAGTTTTGATCTATCTCGCTAGGCTGCAACAGTGCACTGAGACCTTAATTTAAGGACAAGACTAATATGTTGATGATTACCATGGCCACTATTGATCGTCCTCTGATCGGGGGTCTTATGTGATATTTTTAATTCATGATGCGACTTTTAGAATACCATATTATAGATGTTTATTTGTTCTCAATGGAAACAAACAGAAAATCCTCAGTTTTGATATTTACATTTACTTAGTAAAAAAAAAAAATAAAGTTATAAATTTAGTTGATTTAATTAATCTAAAGAGAAATTAAAAGAAACAGTGGCTTTAAAGAACCACATTATCTTCATGTATTCTGCCGTCGCAAAGCACGGATTAAGTCTGTCTTCTAGTTTTATAAACTCATTACCAACATAGGTCATGCACATGTGGCTGTGTATAAAAAATGTCATCGTAGACCAATATCGCTGATAAAATACAGCAAGATTTTATTTAGAAAGAATATTTATGGAAGCCCTAACACTTTTAATAAATCATATTCTTTGTAAACAAAAAAGAAGTTAGATTTTAAGTTAAAATTGTAAATAGGTATCGAGTTAAAAATGAATAAATAGGTAGGCCTTGTTTGTTTAATTGTTCATTTTGACTTAAGTGTAGCTAGCGAACCGTTTGAAAAACCGTTAGGAAAAGATTGGCAAATTTAAAATTAGCTTGACATTTGAATCAATCGTTGAAAGATATTAGAAGGTTAAAAATGGAGACAAAAGTTACAATATTTTTTTTATCAGAAGCTGTTATAGGCCTCATAGTAAATATTTTTGTGTAGAAAGTGTTGTTGTTAGTATTACCTATTATAACATATACAGGATTAGTAAAAAGTGTGGAGACCCCCTGTTATTTTTTTTTTTTTTGGCGGCCTCTTTTAACCTTACATTTGCCCGTCCACATAGACTAACTGCCTGTGCGTGGAACGTATCCAGAAAAGCAAGGGGCGAGTCGGTACAGTACGAAGGTGATCTGTACTGATAAAATGTTAACAGCAGTGACCAGGATCCGAACCCTCGACCTTGCTGTCTTGGGCTCGAAGTCTGTGACGCTACAGACTGAGCCACCGACTCACCAATTTAAAGAATTCACATGGGCCTTCACTTTGATTATATTATGTTGATGGGTTTTTTGAAAGCAAGCAACTCTTCCAGTAAAATAAGAAAAGGTTAAAATAAAAGATGATCTAGATGATCTTTGAAATTTGTCGAATAGTTTTAAGACCAATTTTGGTGAAGTATACTGATTACAGCAACTACCGTTTAATATATAAATACCCCCGCCCAGGGCAAATGTCTCCGCATACCAGGTCACCTAGATACCACTTATACCACTCACTAGATACCATTCTTTTGTGTCCAACCTCAAATCGAACCCTGACTACAGCACTAGGCCTAATAAGAGAGTATAGATGGAGTGAACAGTCTCGTAAAAAAAAATGAATAAATATGAATTGTTCATTTTGACTTAAGTGTAGCTAGCGAACCGTTTGAAAAACCGTTAGGAAAAGATTGGCAAATTTAAAATTAGCTTGCATTTGAATCAATCGTTGAAAGATAATAGAAGGTTAAAAATGGAGACAAAAGTTACAATATTTTTTTTATCAAGAGCTGTTATAGGCCTCATAGTAAATATTTTTGTGTAGAAAGTGTTGTTGTTAGTATTACCTATTATAACATATACAGGGTTAGTAAAAAGTGTGGAGACCCCCTGTTATTTTTTTAATGGCCCATATAATAGAAAAACTAAACTTGGCACACCTTTATGGCATGTTATGAAGCACTTTTTGGGGATAACCGCCACTTGGTGTACATCTCCAAAATGGGGGATTTTGGGGGAAACTCAAAAATTTCAAATACAGTAGAAAGACCAATTGAGTGACCCCTCATTTTAAAGGTCCTGATAAAAGAAAACCAACATCGCAAATTAGAGGTATCTATCTCAATCCAGTAAAAAATGGCAGCCAATTGAAATTCTCAGAAGTTAAATTTAACTTACAGCTTTCCAAGTCTGGAGACCCCCTGTAAATTTTGTAACGGCTCACACTAGGAAAACTAAACTCTACACACCTTTTTGGCATGTTATGAAGTACTTTTTAAGCCTAATAGCCACTTGTTTCCCAAACCCAAAATGGGGGATTTTGGGGGAAAATACAAAATTTTAATGATAAGCCCCATCGAGTGTCCCCTCATTTTGAAGATCCTGGTAAAAGAGGACTTACAACGCAAACTAGAGGTTTCTATCTCAATCCAGTAAATCATGGAAACTTATTGAAATCTTTAGAAATCAGAAATAGCTTGCAATTTTATATTCAATTGGATGCCATATTTTACTGTGTTAAGATAGAGGCCTCTAGTTTGCGTTGTTAGTTTTCTTTTATTATGGCCTTCAAAATGAGGGGGCTTAACATTCACTCGACGGGACTTAACATTTACAATTTTTAAGTTTCCCCCAAAAATCCCCCATTTTGGGTTTGGGAACCAAGTGGCTATTAGGCTTAAAAAGTACTTCATAACATGCCAAAAAGGTGTGTAGAGTTTAATTTTCCTAGTGTGAGCCGTTACAAAATTTACAGGGGGTCTCCAGACTTGGAAAGCTGTAAGTTAAATTTAACTTCTGAGAATTTCAATTGGCTGCCATATTTTACTGGATTGAGATAGAGACCTCTAATTTGCGTTGTTGGTTTTCTTTTACTAGGACCTTCAAAATGAGTTCACTTGATTGGTCTTTATATTTGAAATTTTTGAGTTTCCCCCGAAATCCCCCATTTTGGGGTTGTACACCAAGTGGCGGTTATGCCCAAAAAGTACTTCATAACATGCCATAAAGGTGTGCCGAGTTTAGTTTTTCTAGTATGGGACATTAAAACAATAACAGGGGGTCTCCACACTTTTTACTAACCCTGTATAATAGATATTGATGGACAGATTGCAAGTTAATACTGACAAAATATTACTACAGCAGAACCTCGATAAGAAGTCAACCTTGTAACAATCTTAAATAACCATGAGACACTTGTTATTGAGGTTTTACTGATAAAAAAATGGTTGAAATTGTATTCTTCATGCTGGCTATAAAGTCAAGAAAAGTTTAGAGGACACATAAGAAGTTCTGCATCCCTTGGAAAATCTGTGTCCGGCTTTGATAAATAGAAAAAGAAAAGGATATAAAACTGACCAAGAAAACCAATATTTCACTTGAAAATAAAAAAAAACAAACAAAAAACTTACATCTATCAGCTTCAAGAAAACTTCATTTGTCAATAAATGTTGTACCTAACGAATAATACAATATCATACCGGTAAAAAATAGGTAAAAGAAATTAACGAGTTAAATTTTTCTAATTGAGAAACCAATAAAAGACTTTTAGCTTTTTGACTTTCTATACTCATTTAAAGAATATCAAAACAAATTGAATAAAAATTAAAATGAACATTAAAATTCTTAAAAAAAAATATTAGTGATCCAAACAGAGGGAAGAAGAGAACGGTTCAAATGAGTAACTCTAGGGGGATTCTGTAAAGAAGAAAATATAACTTATTCCTAACATAAGAGCAAGTAACAAATACTGGCTCAAAAAAGTAAAAGTTATGTTAATGACCAAAAACTTGATCATGGGTACCAAAGTCCACATAGGTACCAGCAATGGGCATACAACTCATTTAGGTACAATAGATTACCTTTAAGCTACGATTAATTTAATTTAAATGGTCATCAGAATGATCATATTCATACCAGCAATTTAAGTAAGTGACCATTATTATTTAGAAATCAAATTATCAGGATTTGTAAAGACCTGAAACAAGATAGTTTATTCTTTTTGTTCTGAAAAAGTGGAACATAGACTTTTAACACTTTTACCAAAACACCAGTCTGACAGGCCCACGGGAATTTTCACAAACATGTTGGCAACACTGTTTACTTGGGGGATTCCATTCCCCAATACCTTCCCCCCTTTTCCTCCCCTACCTGTTGATATATTGTTTGTTCATTTTGCGTGAGTGCCGTGACCTTGACAGGTTGTCTGTTCATAACATGCCCATCTCAGAAGCCCAGTGTTAGTGTATATTAAAGCTGGGTCTCATAGGCCAAGGGGTTCGGTTTGTGTGTGGGGTTCATTATTTTCCAATGGGGTCTCACAGACCGAGGTTTTAGGTTAGTGTCAGCCTGGGTAGTGTTTTGGTATTAGTGTTAAAAAAGAATTTAGCTTTATCCAATCAATTTATGAATCTTAAAAAAAGGACAATTAAAAGGAATCAACTTTAAAATACCCACCTGTCATTTATGGTGTAAACCAGGATTCCAAGATGGAATAAGACGAAACCACAAGAGGAAGCCGATTTTGATTATTCATAGTTTAGTTGGGATCATTTCTAACATTATTAGCCTTGATTGTTTAGGCAACAAGTAAAATAAATGGCAGCAGGAAACCTCTTGGCCATTTAGTAAAACTTATTACTACATCTGGAATCCCAAGTTCCACTATGGGTTTAAGTCTTTTTCACTGATAAACCAATCAATTTTTGTAGTAATGACACACAATTTCAAATCCATGTGTAAACACCAGAGTAGATAAAATAATAATAAATTAAAACTGAAATCCTTAAAAATTAAAAGGCTAAGAGAAATTATATTTATTGTATCAAAACAAACGTTGACACTTAACATGCATTTTTTCTACCTTAGTCAGTAACTAAGAAAAAGAAACTGTAAAATATTGATCAGTAGACTTAATTTACAGAAATTCCAACACAAGACAATCTAAGATTATATATTTGGTAAACGTGCATAACATGTCATAAAGTTTAAACCTCATTGAATACAAACAGAATTTCAGTTTGTAAAATTCCCCCCCCCCCCATTCCTCCACAGAAAATAACAGAACACAAGGCAGTATTGAAAATAACTGACTTTAAAACTAATAAATTAAAATACAATAAAGAAGAAAATCAAAAATCCGTCATTATGGTTAAGTGGCTTAAAACTAAAAAATCACCAAGGTCCATAAATCATAACAGATGTTGAAGAGCGTTGTTGTTGCGAGGCGATTGCTCAGTCGGTGTATTAGTATGCTGACTTACGTGGAGGAAATCCCCGCGGGATGAACGGTCCGCCGCGCGGGAGTCGAGGAACCATCACTGCACCTCGGAACCCTCGACTCATGCCTCGAACGATTCCTCCTCGACCTCGCATGATCGGAGGAACCCCTCGACGCATGGGCATGCCTCTTCCTCTTACCGGAGGAGGAATAAACTCCTTTGGTTCATACTGCAATCATTGTGATATTGGGGTAAATAAGTGTATTGTTAGAAAAAAACCAGGCTTACATCCAACCAGAAACATGAAACCCTAAAAACTTACTTTAAGGTTTAGTTTAATTCAAGGCTAGGCCAGGATTTTGATCTTGACGAACAGAAGACACATATCAAACAAACAATATTTAGTCTCCTGGTAGACTTTTTCAAGTTTAAAAAAGATTTCACAAAATCCTTTCTATTCCATTTTGTGTGAACTCTCTCTGCCTACACATGAAAAAGTCAGCTTAAGTAAGAAATATTGTGTGTTTTATGTGTCTTCTGTCCGTGTGTTCTATAGGCTACATGTAATTCAACAATCCTTTTAATTTACAAATCTAAAATCCTTATTTTATACATTAAATATGAGTATTTTTCACTGTCACTGACATAGAACCAAATAAGAAAATAGTTTTCCCATTTGGATAAACATATTTTATAAAATCCTTAAAAGTTAGACACAAATGCCCATGTCAGATTCTTAACCTCAAAGTTATACCTTCAGATTTAAAATGCATGTTTTTTTACATCTTAACCATCCCACTGGCAAAAAAAAAAAAAAAAAAAATTATTTACATACACTTACAGTCTTATAAAACTTCTTAGGCTCGTACTCTCCCTTAGGTGGACGACGGGAGTCTTCGTAGTGGTTGTCCGAGTGTTCCCGAGGTTCACGTTCACGACTGTGACGACGTCTGCCTTCTCTCTCCCTCCCCTCTCTGTCTCTTTCCCTGTCCCTCTCCCAAGCCTCTCTTCGATCCCGAGACCCCTCGTGTCTTTCTGACGATGCTGTTGATCACAATATCAATCAAACTCTACACTATACGTTTGTTGGATTAGAAGATTAGAGGTTTTTAAATATTTTGAAAAAAAAACATTTATTTAATTAAATTAATTAGAAAAAGTTAGGCAGCAGAGGACTACATAGATCTTATCCTATGATTGAGATTATTTCAGATATAAAGACAACATAGTATATATAGTATTAACTCTATTAACCGTCACCCTCAGGACCGGAAGTGTGACGGTTAAACGAATAGATGGATAACAGATATCCTGTTATAAATAACAGACATCCTGTTATTAATCTATACAGTAGTTTAAAAATGCATTTTTCAATAGGATTTGTTTTAGTTTTCAAATTAAAACTGGATAAAATTTCTGTTAGATGGCAATACTGATTCAGTCCCTTACCAGGTCTTCTACGTTCTCTAGGTGGAGAAGAGTGATGTGGTCTCCCATGTCTTTCACCTCTCTCTCTGTCACTCTCGTACCTTCTCTCTCGCTCTCTCTCGTCTACACGAGGATGAGGATCACTGCGCTTCTCATTGATACGACTTCTTAGATCACTGTGGTCAAATAAACACATTTCAGCAAACCATAAGGAGAAATTGGAACCTAATGTGTACAATTGAAAATTCCACTTTCAGTACTGTAATAAAATATACTATTTCTAATTTCATTGTACCTGTCAACTAGCCAACATGTTATTTTACCTTTATAAAACGAAGGCTTGTCGATACCACTTTGATTTGTCAAAATTATACGGCATTTTTAGTTCTCTACATCACCTCTAGATTAACTAGAACTTTAAAAACTTGTTAACAACTTATGATAGTTATAGTACGGTACCTTTCTCTCTGATCTCTTTCATAGCTCAGTCTTCTTTCAGGTGAATACCTGCGTTCTTCTTTTTTCCTTACAACAAAATCTGCTCGTTTAACATCTTCTCTACTACCACCTCTCCTGTAAATAAAACATCAAGAATAAGATATCAATTGTTTTTAAACACAGTTGGTTCTAGTACTTTATTTTAGACAATGAGTCTGCCATTAAGAAATTTGTAAGGGTAGTTTCTGCACCATCAACCCTATGTTGGAAAAAAAACGTTTTTCTTCACAATAGGCTAATCCTTTAAATAAGCTTTTGTATTTATATACAGGACGTGCTTGAACAATTTTTGTTGTAAAGCAAAATAATAACTCAAGCAAAACAGGACAAAAAAGGGAAAGTTAACTGTAACAAACTGACAACAAATAGATAGACCAATTTACATAAGGATAAGAAATCCTTGCAACCTGTTGTTCTTCGTTATTACACATTTTTGTCTCCAGCTGATTATGTAAGACTAGATTAGGTTAGTTTAGTTTTGGAATCTGATTACATAATTTAAATCACAATGACAAAATATCTGAATAAATTGATGTTCCTACTACACACCATCTAGTCCAGCTTTGTCAAACCAAATTTGAAATCTTTAAACATCCATATTTAATTTAAATGTAGTTTTGTTTTGAGTCAAATAATTTAATCATAACTTTTAGTTTTAAAGATACAATAGTTTAACCTCAGACCGGCCTCGGTTTATCTGGCCACTTCTCAGACAGGGTGTCCACCAGGCCAACCAGAAAAAATTCATGAGTGAAAAAAAATTCCAGGTAGTTCAGGTTGTACTTTTCATACTAAAATTTCCAACATGTTTTGCGCCAACCCCGCAATGCTGTTTTAGCGCTATCACAGCTCGCTATTTTAGCTATCAGAAAGAGCATTTTCAGTTAAGAAAAAAAAAATTATGATTGCTGTAATATTGCCTGACAAAAGTATTCAATTTTTATATATTACTGATTAAATAATCCAAAAATTAAAAACTAATCCTTAAACCTGCAATTTATTAATAACTTCCTAAAAATAGTGATATGTCGATACCAAAATTTATCGAATCTCTGTACAAAAACTTGAAAAATAGATTCTTAAAACTGATCATTTCAATTTTACCAAATTTTTTGAAGGATTACTACACCAACCTCTGGCTTTATTTACTTTCATATACTATAATTTTGGAGTAATGGGTTGTTTTCCAAGTGGCCTACACAAATAATAATTTAGAAATAACAAAAACTGCACGTAGCCAATTTAGGTTTTAAACCCTTCTAAACACATTAAATACATACCATGTTAAAGGAAGATGAAGATATTACAAAAAATATTTCCAAACTTGAGGCTATATTGTAATCATCTAACACAGTCGTAGAGACAATCAATCAATCAATCAATCAAATATTCTTTATTCACAAAGTTTAGACAATATGTCTTGAATAGCGTCATTAAACTAACATAAACAAAAAATTATAAACTAAACAATTAAAATCATTCACAAAGGATTTATACAGTAAAACTAAAAATGAGTGCTATAACTTAAAAAAAAAACACAAAATCTTAGAAGCTTATGTCAGAGTAAAACTAGGTAGTATCTGGAATTCAAATGGTCGTTTTGAGATTACAATTTAAAAATTCTTTGATGGAATAAAATGGGTTTCTTATCAACAAGTCTTTTAGTGTATTATTTTCTTTTTTAAGTGAAATTGGTAATTTTTGAAGAAATTTTAAGCCTGCATATGAAGGTTTTTTGGTAGGCTATAGAATTCTAAATTATGTCTAGGAAGGTTAATTTGAAAGCGTTTGTTATATTTACTTGCAGTGGATAATAAATTAAATTGTTTTGCGTAAATTATTGTCTCATAAATATACAAACTGTAAACTGGTAATACACCCAATTCATCCATTCATACACCATTCATCGTTTTCTGCAATAACTGAAAAATCCTGAATATCTCACTCAGTAACAGAAACAACTTCACCATTGTCTTCCGTGGTCGTGAAAAATTCCAGATATTGTTCAGCAATAACGGAAACATTATAATCGTCTCCCGCGATCACAATAAAGTTATCATAATCTTCCTCGATCGTAGCTTAATTAAAATAATTTCCCGTCATCATCATTGTCAAGCAATATTTTTGGACATCATCATTGTTTCCCGCAGTCACGGAAACGTCGTCATCGTCTCCCGCGGTCACGGAAACATCATCGTCATCTTCCGCGATAACGGAAACATCGTTGTCGTCTCCCGCGGTCATTGAAACATCATTGTCTTCACCCACGATCACGGAAACGTCATCGTCGTCTCCCGCGGTCACGGGAACGTCATCGTCATCTCCCGCGGTCACGGACACGTCATCGTCGTTTCCCGTGGTCACGGAAATGTCAACGTCGTCTCCCGTGGCAACGGGAACGTCATCGTCGTCTCCCGCGGTCACGGAAATATCATCGTTGTCTCCCATGGTCACGGAAACGCCATCATCGTCTCCTGCGGTCACGGAAACGTCATCGTCGTCTCCCGCGGTCACGGAAACGTCATCGTCATCTCCCGCGGTCACGGACACGTCATCGTCGTTTCCCGTGGTCACGGAAATGTCAACGTCGTCTCCCGTGGCCACGGGAACGTCATCGTCGTCTCCCGCGGTCACGGAAATATCATCGTTGTCTCCCATGGTCACGGAAACGCCATCATCGTCTCCTGCGGTCACGGAAACGTCATCGTCGTCTCCCGCGGTCACGGAAACGTCATCGTCATCTCCCGTGGTCACGGAAATGTCAACGTCGTCTCCCGTGGCCACGGGAACGTCATCGTCGTCTCCCGCGGTCACGGAAATATCATCGTTGTCTCCCATGGTCACGGAAACGCCATCATCGTCTCCTGCGGTCACGGAAACGTCATCGTCGTCTCCCGCGGTCACGGAAACGTCATCGTCATCTCCCGCGGTCACGGAAACGTCATCATCTCCCGCGGTCATGGAAACGTCATCGTCATCTCCCGCGGTCATGGAAACGTCATCGTCATCTCCCACGGTCACGGATACGTCATCGTTGTCTCCCACGGTCACGGGAACGTAATCGTCATCTCCCGCGGTCACGGAAACGTCATCGTCGTTTCCCGTGGTCACGGAAATGACAACGTCGTCTCCCGCGGTCACGGAAACGTCGTCGTCGTCTCCCGCGGTCACGGAAACGTCGTCGTCGTCTCCCGCGGTCAAGGAAACGTCGTCGTCGTCTCCCGCGGTCACGGAAACGTCTTCGTCGTCTCCCGCGGTCACGGATACGTCATCGTCGTCTCCCGCGGTCACGGATACGTCATCGTCGTCTCTCGCGGTAACGGCTAAAAATTTCCGGTTAAATACAAAATTCACACGTAATTACCGGTTTTTACCCAGTTCAAAAAAATCACGCATGATTCCCGATTTTCCCGGTCGGTTGACACCTTTTCGGATGTTATTACTTCTCAATTAAGCTACTGTCAGGGAAATAAATATGTGCACTCGAGTTTGAGCCTAAATTTCTCTGAGATTAATTATCCGATCTATTTGAAACAAATACTAAATATAAGCTTGTTTAAATACATTTTACGTGGTAACAATAAAAAAATTCTGTTTACCAGACAAATTTTTATAGTTGAAAGATCCTAAAAAGTACCGGGTTTTAAGAAACTCTGCACTAACACTGAAGTTTAAAATTTAACTGTAAGCAAACCACTCAGCCAATCCTTCTGAAATTTTTATGGCTTTTTGGTAGGTTTATTGTTAACATTTCCATGCATTTTAAAATTTTTACTTACAAGTGTTTTTATGCTGCAGTTAATTTTAAAAACGTATGCTGACAATGTAATAAGACGCTAAAAATGTCGTTCAAAGTACCATCGTGTTTGTTGTGACCCAAGAAATAACACCAATATGACAGATTTATAATGGGAACAAATGTGTTTTTAAAACAGATTTATATTTGTAAACAAAAATTTCTCCCGCCACTCGCAGCAGGCTGCCTGGTGTTTATACGATATTTCCCAGCCGGGTGGGAGCGCGTGCGAATCTGCAACGTTGCCGATGTGTACCTGGCCACCACACTGACATTGCTTCGGTATTCACTCAAGGCAAACTACTGTGAAAATCATTCTATCATCTGTATTTTACCATCGGAAAAATTCCGGCGAGGAGGCATTTTCGAATAGATGTTACCAGTGTAAAAATCTAAGACGAACTGGTTAGCTTGGTTAGTCATCTCTCATAGCGACCATAGTTCAAGAAAGAGGGGGAGCTTATGTGTACATTCCATTACTCACCGGATGTTCCAGCTTAACACAACACACTGCCCGGAAAGGGTGATGACTGCTACAATTTCTACTTTCAGTGGTTTATTTAAAAGTGGAAAATTAAAGAAACCATTAAATAAATACTGGAGGAAAATATTTACCTGGCATTTAGCTGTTTTTTTAACAAGCTCAATCAACACAAAAGAAATTCGCTTGGTATTCGTAATACAAAGTAGATTTTTCCTACCACCATAGTTAACTTATTATAATGTACTAGGTGGTTACTGTCAAGGCTTAGCCAACGCTAATTCATCGACGGAAAGTTAGGTGAAGTGGAAGAAGTGAAGTTGGCTTTTATTCTTGGACTGTTAGGTACCTCCTCTTTTATATGGTTGTGCACCTTCATTGGCAACAAATAATGCAAATTTCATAGCAATGTGGCATTTCCAAAAAGCAAAAAATACTGTAAATTGGCTGTTACGTAAATATTGACGTTTACATGCATTGTTAAACAACGTATCTTATAAAAGGATGATGTGATCTAGTTTAAAAGGAATATGACCTTTCTGTCATGACAGTAGCTGCTTAAATAGTATTTACTCTTTGTGCCTTTTTTACAGACAAAATGTTGTGTTATTTTCAATATGTTAACAACCCAGTGGGCCATGGTCCGTAATACAGGCCACTGCAAATAATTTGTCAAGATAGGTTTCCATAGGTACCATTTTGGGCAAGGTTTCTGTGTTTGGATGCCTAATGCACTAAGAGCACAATGAACTTCTTCTGCAAATTAATAATCTGTTGGTTCAGAGAAATATAAGCCAAATTATAAGTGTCACAATCCAAGTGCATTTATTTCCCCGACAGTAGTTAGATGATTGTAGGCTTAGCATGGGAAAATGTTTTGTTTTGTACAGTGTATAACCTGACTTGACACGGCTCCATTCGGAAGACCGAGTATTCAGTTAGATGATTATTTCCAGTGCGGTTCGTACAGTACAATAATTGTTTCGTTTTGTAGAAAAAACAATGAGCAAGAAAGTTCAGCAAAACATTACAGACAATATTAAGGTTTAATATGACAGAGGCTTAAAACACTACTTTTAACACCATTTATTGACTACACATATTATATATTAATTCAGCCTACTGCTTTTCAATAGGTTGGTTTGTTTGGGCAAACTGTAGTCCGGCCAGTGGCTCGGTCTTGTGGAGGCCAACAAGAGTTAAGAGACCTCTAACTTACCGTTCTCTGTGTTTGTCCACATATTCGTCTCTGTGAGGTGAGCGATGCCTGGCTTCGTAGGGACTGTGGCCGCGTTCTCTCTCATTATAGTATGGCCTACGACTGTCCTCGTAGTGACTTGGACCTGGGGCAGGGGAGTATCTAGGAGGCGGCCTCTCCCGGGAGTGGCCCCTGTCATGACCTGTCCAACAAAGTCAACAATTTACTGGGGTTTACTGGTACAGTCTAACCTTGATATAACGAACCTCGATACAACGAATTCCTTGATATAACGATTTTTTTTAAATCCCCTAGAACCCTCCATAAGACACAATGTATATTTTACCATAACACCGACCTTGATTTAACGAATTTTTCGTGATTTTGACTAAAATAAGACACCTCAATATAGCGAATTTATCATTGTCAGAACCTCTACATTGCGAATTTCACCTCTGCATAACGAATTGTCTACGTCTTTCCCTCGATATAACAAATCCCCCACCCCATTATTGTTTTTGAAAAATCTGTTTCTTTATCAAATGAAATGGAAAGGTGACGTCATCGCTTGCGCTAACATTCGTCTGCTCCGTTTTACACATCTCTGTCTGCTGTCGCTGCGCGCGCTAGTTGCAACTGAGAACTGATTTCATTCACTGAGGACTGATGACGACGTAATGTTTAGTAAGCTGAGATTGGGCGAGAAGTAACTATGGTGAATTGTACAATTTTTGGATAAAGAGAAACCTAAGAAAGAATATAAAAACAAAACCAAAGAGAAAGAATAGCAACATCGTTATTTTAACATTCCTTTTTCGAGTGTTTTTATTATCTTTAAGTTGGCTATTGATTATACACTTTTATAATGACTTATCTAATAATTTACTGTATTGTTTTCAATACGACTTGTTTCTACTAGCAACACCAATGCTATAGTAAATGATAATTATTGACATTCCTCTGTTGTGATAAATCAGTACCGGTACTGTACTGTAAGTAGCCTACCGGCCTATCACGAGCAGTAGCTTACAAAACTTTCTACATACTACTGTTTTGTTTTGTTCTTTACATGGTTAATGACTACGCAATACAGTGTTTTGCTAGGTTTTAGGAGGGTTAGAACAAGCTGTGATTTTAAACTTACAGTTTCTTAACCTGTACCAAGGTCAATGCCATCATTGTCATGATTGCGCAATCTTCAAGATCTCTCCCCTTTATTATGCCGGATAATTTAGGTTCTACTGTACAATGTAAACACTGTACTGTAAAGTATTGTAGCCTATGCTACTTTAATTGTAGATGTATAAAACACGGGTCACACTAGGCTGGCATCAGCGGCGAATTGAAAGAAGCCGCGACTGTAAGCTTAATGTGACCACAAAATTCACAGCTGATACTGAGCTGGCTCAGCCTGGATTGGTGAACCGGTGATGCTGGTGCCAGCTGCTGATCACCAGCGGCTGGCGAACAGCCTAGTGTGACCCGTGCTTAATCCCGACCTATATTGACCGACGCTGGTTCTGAACCTCGACTTAGCGAAAATCCTGCAAACATAACCTCTATATAACGAACCTCGTTTTAACGAAATCCTTGATATAACGAATATTCAGATCGGTCCCTTCAGATTCGTTATACTAAGGTTGGACTGTACCAGGCCAACGGTTGGCCCTAGAGATTAGTTTTGCCTATGCAACAATATGCAATTGAAGTTATGTCCTGGTTCTAACCTAACCTAACCCAAGATTTGTCCATAATAACATTTAAACCTAAATAAACAAGTAGCGATTTATATATTTAAAACAAGTTAACTACACTTTCTTTTAGCCTTTTTACTCCAAATAAATATATATGGATACGTTTGCTTTAAATTACCTGAACCTCGGGAATTGTCAATTGCCACGATCCTTTGGTATTCTTCAGTATTGGACTTGTCCTTACTGGCAGCGACATCACCTCTTCTAAACAAGGGCCGAGACCCTTCACCTATATTAGGGAAATGACCAACTTTAGTGGAACACTCAAGAAGTTAATATTCATATAAAATTATTTCTAAATTTGAAATATTCAATTAAAAATGCAAACTTTCCTTCAAATTCAATGATTGTCTTCAAACAAAATGAATTTATCTAAAGTTAAAGTTAAATTATTTTTTAGAAGCAGAATCTTGTCAGAGCTTTGAGTAAAAAGTTTAGAAAAATGTTTTTACTAATTAATTTTATTATTAACACATAATGAAACTTTTGGTTTACTTCAATTTTACTATACTTACCTGAAATGATAGTTTATAAATGTATTAAGTAGCAAATGCAGCGTTTAGTGCCAATATTTTATTCTCATAGCTGTGTAGAAGATATTTTACACATGGTTCTGGTTGACTTGGGTTTTTGTGATGTGAATCGGTCAAGTCTTTACTGTGTATGCAATATAAGAACAAGTATTTGAGTAAAGCCATACAATAAAGTAGGGAAAATCAGGACTATACAAAGCATAGGAACAAGATTATAAAATAATAGCTTCAAAGATTGAAGGAAGAAACAATAGAGAAGTTATAAAGAGAACCATTAAGTGTATACATATTGATAGAAATACAGAATTCAAAGAAAGTCAATTACTTTTAAAGAAGCATAGAGTTGAAGAGCTTAGGGACTAGACATGAATTAATGAAAAAATATTGAGGAAAACTAAATACAGACATAGGTAAAATAAGCAAAGAAGTACAAGAAATGTAAAAAAGAACATGAAGAGTAGAAAGTAAAGTTTGTGAAATATCACAGGATAAAAAAATAAAAGCTTTTGGAAAGTGGAGGCTTTTATAGAGCAAGAAGAGAGGGGAAAAGTCAGAAATATCTGAACACAGAAACATTTTTGAAATTTTAATGTAATAGCAAATTGAAATTTTTTTAAGGATTGAAAATCCCCCAGACACTGCATTTGCTCCTTGCCATTTACTTCCTCTTCAGCCGTAGAGACAACTAACAAAGATGTAATAACTGTCTGTAATATTACCTGCTACTGACTGGACAATCTTTGAGCACTACCCAACGTTCGGAGGAAAGGCCACTCCTGGAATCGGCAACAAGAAAACCATACTCTGTGTCGATTAATGTCATCATTACTGTCAATGGTGGTGGTGAAACAACACTATGTACATTCTAAAACATATCACTTAGTTCTAAAGTACAAACTAATAACCCTTACCATCAAAAAACCAAACAGAACTAAAAGTAACTTAATAGTAAAAGTAACTATTTCAGAGAAAGGAATTATTAATGGCTGAGTCATCTTTCTAGGATTAGGGATGTATTGGGTCAAGAAAAGATTAAGCTTAACTATTTTAATCAATAATTTTTAAACATTGTCCATAGCGTACTGATATAGTTAGTTTTAATATTGATTTTAGAGGTCAAATTAAGTAGAATAAGCAAAACACTTCACCACCAAATTTCAGATGGAATTTTCTAAATCTAAATAAAGGGAACTTGAAAACTAGTATGCCCCACTCTTTTGCTCTTAAAACTGAAGTAGACACCTAGTTGTCTATAAACAATAATTTATTGTAATAGCATCACAAAAATAATATAACGGGTGAAAAAAACAATGGGTTAGAGTATGCAAATAGAGAAAGAGAAGTATTTGGGTGATCATTTTTAAGTTCTTGGTGAAATAAAAAAAATGTAAGGACTTTTTTATACAAATGTAGTGGTATTAAACATAAAGTTAAACTAAGTGTTAAAATTTAATTCTTACTAGTAGAAATAAATAAATAAGGATTTTAAACTAAATTTTAAACCATTTTTTTATTTTCTGCCAAATTTGTTATTTAGAAAAACATTCAAAATGTTTGGGTTAGTGATTAGAAGTAGTAGACAAGAGACAAAAATGTTAGAGACAAAATGTTTAGAGATTAAAAGGATGACACGAAATTAAAAATTTCATTCAAATTAAATTAAAATTTTCATTAAAATGATTTCATGAATTGAAATTATCAGCGTTAAAAAAGTTTTTATTTGACAACACAAAACTTTATATCATCAAAATCATAGAATATCAGCTATCAACTTGTCTGATTTTAACTAGTACTTTAGGGAATAGTTCTTGAAATTAACATGATTCATTGTTGATAATCATATGAATTAGTCTTATTAAATTATCTGAGACATTAACCAATCACCTACAGAAATTCTGAAAGTAACTATTTTAGTAAAGCCAGACAATAAATGTGTGCTTCAATTGAATATACAATATTTACAAAGTGAGTTAATGAGTCCAACAATTACATATTATTATATGAAAATAGGTGTGTAAAAGGATTATTTTCAATTTAGTTTTAATTTGCCATACTGCAGTTGTATCCTTATTTTGATGATTTAAAACAGCCAAAAGGTTGTAATCTTTTTGAGTTAATTTCTGGGCAAAAAAAGAGGAGAGTGACACACGGGGAAAATATGAAGTAATGTTGGACAGTGGGAAGCATAGTTATGAACACATTTCCTTGACGACAATATACTTGCAACATTGTCAAAAGCAGTTTTGAGAAAAGATATGTACGACACTCATACAGAGGAGGTTGATGTTGGTAAAATTGGTGTCCATGACAGGATTGATACCAGAATGTATTCTGTGCCTTTCAGGTCCATTCAGAAAGTAAGGAAAACTTGTGACGCTGCTGGGATCTCGCCAATTGTACACAGACAATTTTGCCTTCTCAGTGACTGTCCAGCCGGCGCTATTTGGTTGCGCAATTGAAAATCACACATGTGAGGTACGGTTTTTCCCACGAGCCTAAAACCTGTAGAAATTTATCGTCCACTTGTGAACTACGGAAACAAGGTAATGAATGAAGTTCTGACCAAAATGGTGCATGCAGTTTAAAAACGGATGAACAAACTAACGTTCATGACAGAGAAGAGTGGATGCCCAAGCATTGTCAATGATGAACCGGTTGCTTAAGTTGATGAGAAGACTCGTAAAAACTGCTGTGTCGGTAAAACTAAGTTCTGTCTTTGTTTCCAACAGGTTCCATGGACTCGATGGTTAAAATTGTCACACTAAAGTAGGCTGCTACATATTTTGTTCATGATAGGTGCTGCAAATGATTTACTGACCACCACAATAGACCAGCCAATGGGGGCAGCTGACATTTTTGGACGCCTATCATCAATATGGTGTTTGGTTATTGGATTGTTACTGGTGATTGATTGAACGTAGGTGGAACATGTCAATTTGGAGACAAAATTACAGTCAATGCACACAAAATCTCAAAAAGGAATTGCTTGCAAACCTTGTATTTTACTTGCTCTTTGGTAATCATATCAGAAAACAAGTAACAGTTTCAGGATAACAAGAAGATTATGGAAATTGTGGTATGGTGTGCTTCTGTGACTATCTTCAATGTGATGAAACCATGAACTTTGGAGCAGCCAAACTTTGTTCAGCCTCAAAAGATCATTCAAATAAACGCAGAGCAAAGTTGAAATCCAAAGTTTTGTTTATGTATCAATGCCTGATGTGCCACCGCAAACTGCACACAAGATCTCTTTCATTCATTCAAACAGGAGATTTCTTTCTCATCCAACCTTCGGTCCAGACCTTGCGTTGAGTGACTCTCATACGTTAAGACAAAAATGTAGTCTTGGTTAACAGAACAGAGCTTTGATGATGAGGAGCTCCAGTTGCATATTACAGAGTGACTGAGATCGCAGACAGCATAATTCTGCAATTAAGGAATTTTGACCGCTATAAGTGCCTTTATTTGTTTCGCGATAAAGTAGAAATGTTGTATTTTGTTGCTATTTTAAATATTGCAGAAATGTAGTGTTTAGTCCCTGCACAATGGAATACATAGCACAGTTTTAGATGCACTTGTTGTTGGAAGTACGAACAGTTCAAAAAGTTTCTGCCATTCATTCTGTTATCTTAATTCATACTAAGTTAGGTTTCGATAAAAGTTTTGCATTGTAAATCATGAATTAGGATTCAAACTCAATTTTGAAGACGTACATGTAAGTATAATTTAAATGACAAATAATGAGATTTGATAACTCAACAAAATACCAATTGTTTAATTGTATAAATTTAACTTAAAAGCCATCTCCCGTGTGTCACCCTTATCACTAATATTTTTTCCTCATTATTTCCTGACTCGTTCCTTATATTTTATTGCTGCAAACAAACTTTCAAATACTATGGAAACTGGTACGATGAGGTTTTTAGGATTGTAGGTTAGTTTCAAGCTGTTGCTAGCTTTTTTCAACTGTTTCAGCTACAGAAATTGATTGGTTAATCACTTGACAGCAGATTTAGTAGATCAACCGGAAGATGCAACCATATAAGATTAGATTGGCTTAAAACTTAAGACAGTAAAAAAAGAATTAAATTATATTCAGAGCTTTTATGTACATAAAACAGAACGAGGCTTTGGACACTCTTTATTATCTACATAAATTTGTTTATTTTTAAGAAATATGTCCATGGTTGCTTATGTTGGTGTACATTGTTTTACTGCTTTTGGTTGCGCTATTTGGATATGTTTTTATGCAGATGAAATGGGGACAGGATGAAGATATCAAGTCATAACTCCTGTTAGGTTTCAGTGTATCAAATCCGAGAAATCAACCACTATTTACAGGTATTATGATTTTAGAACAACACTACAGAGGAATTTATGATTAAAACATGTACTTGTATCTATTTACTTCAAAGCCTACTGTAGTATTCAGAACTGTACCAGTATTGGTAATTAAAAAGAAAATAAACCATCATTGGTAGTTTTAAAATTAAACAGTATTGGTAACTTAAAAAAATTAAACCAGTATTAGTAATTTAAATAAAATTAAAATTAATTTTAATTATTTTAGTCAGAGTTGAATCCTGATGAATATTAGCCGGACTTGTGTTAAAGCATCCCACGAAAACTGAACAATATACAACGCTGCGATTAAGGTTTTCCTTACAGAGTTTTTAGAGAGTACTAAACATAAATT